TTTAAAATAGAGGGAGGTAGATTCAGATTGGATATTAGGAAAAAAATTTTTACCATGGGAGTTGTAGAACACTGGAACAGGTTGCCCAGAGAGGTGGTGGATGCTCCATCCCTGGAGACGTTCAAGGCCAGGTTGGACGAGGCCCTGAGCAACCTGATCTAGTTGGAGATGTCCCTGTTCCTTGCAGGGGGGTTGGACTAGATGATCTTTGAAGGTCCCTTCCAGCCCTAACCATTCTGTGACTCTATGATTCTATGAAATGCATGTGAACTGTTTTTTCTATACATGCAGAAAGGTGTTTGGAGAAAGATCCAGTCATCTCACGTTTTTCTGCGTGTTTTAGGGACTGCGCGTTCTTTTCCTGAGCGGAGGCTTTGTCTGCAGGGATGCAGCCCTGGGATGGGAAACAGCCACACGTGAGGCTGGCGTTTGCTGTAGGTTGGTAACCACAGGTGTATTCGTGATTTCTAGTGCTTGGTTCAAACATTTATGGGATGTGTTTCTGTAGAGCTTGCTGGTTAGAGCTGACAGCAATGCGTACGTATGGTGGTGGCATTTTCTCCTGGCGGAGCGTTGCTGAGCTAGTCTCAGTATCTGGAAGGCTATCCGTGAAATTCTGCCTTTCATCTGGGTTTCTTTTACATTGTAAAACACTGCAATATTTTCTTAGTAATAGTTTCCAGCAGTATAGGAAATCCTCCGTTGGCTTTCTTAAAACTTGTTTTAAAAAATATCCCCCTTTTTTAACAACATCGTAAGGTACGTTTCCTGCTTGGAAAACTTTCCATCCAAGATGGGCGATGTGGGCACTCTGAGAAATTGGCTCAGATCTAATTACTGCCCTGTTGGCTGAGTTAATCTGTAGAGGAAAAAGAAAGTTTGTTTTTCCTGTGATGGTGCTCTGAGGCTACCTTGAATAAACGTTATGAGGTAGCTGGCAGCAAATATTGACAGTGTGAATTAAATCGCTGTCAATTACTTTTCTGGTATTAGAAGATTTACATTTTAGATGTGGAATGTACCACCTTGTCATATCTTCAGAAATTTTATACTGGAGGAATTAATAAAGGTAGAGGAATTTGAGTTATTTCTTCATATTCAGAATGAACAAAATTACATTTCTGTGTCAATTGTCTCTGCGAGGGATATTTGTAATTTTTGTGTCTGGGTAAGAAGTTACCATTCCTGACTCTAACGAACGCTTTTTTAGATTATGCTAGTCACCGATTGTATTCTCTGTTTGACAGTCTCGGAAAGGGAGTCTGAAATAAAAATTGGCCAATACTTTTGTTCAAATACTTTGAATGCTTTATAGATGGGTGTGAGGAATGGCAGAGCTGCTCTGCTCTGCAGGGTTTGTGATCCGAAGCAAATCATGTAATTGCCTGAGAGTAAATAATGTCCGAGGGCCTGTGCATTCCTATAAAGCAGTGATTCTTGTTTTTAAATCAGCTTTCTTGCAATTGGAGTCTTCTCACACCGCTCCACCGTTTTCTGGGAAGGCGATGTCCAGGGATGCTGTTGGCCACAGAGTACTTAGCCAAATAGCAACTGAGGGCAGATCTTTCGAGTGGTTTGATCCATGGTTTATGCTAATCCAAGTTATAGAGTTAAAAGGATGAATTGGCACTCTTTTTTGCTTCGACGTGCCTTCCAAAGCTGTTAAGGTGAAATGCTGCTGTGTATGAGTCATACCAAAACCGACGCAGCAGCACTAAAGTAATTATCCTCTTGTGTGTTCAGGATAATCAGGAATGAAGCTGGTGATGGAAAGGAAGAACTTACTGGCTATGAGCTAGCAGGAGCGCTGGTGTTAATAGGAAAAAAGCCTATGTGAAAAAATGGTTTTCTTGGATCTCATGCACTCAGTTTCTTTGTGAAATTCCGTGCGTCCCCTCAGATAAGAGAGTAGAACAGGTCTTTCTAGGTCAAACAGTTCAACTCCTCAGCTGTCTGGGGGTGCTGCTGCTCAGCGGGACGGCAGCGCTGCAGAAATCTCGCAGCAGCAGAGCGAATCTTAACTGAGGGTGCATTTGGTGGTAGGGTAAGGAGGTGGAGATCGCTGGAGCTCGGGAGCAGAGTCCCAGTGCTAGGTACTGGGTCACCGCCTAGGAGAGGACTGCACATCACCCCAAGGGCTTACTTTTCTGAAATGGGCTTCCAGCTTCTCCGCGGAAGCTCCTTGTTAATGCTCGTTTGCTGCTTCACATGGCACTGCTGGAAAGAATAAGCAGCCTTCTGGACTCCTCCTGTCCCCCCTGCAAAGTTTGCCGTCTGAGAAAGGAAAACATCTGTCCTCTTGCAGAAAGTCTTGACTGTTGAAAGCGCCAGGATTGGCTTTCCTGGTCTGTCCATCCCCATGTCCTTCAGGGACAGCAGCAGCACTGCCAGTCCCAGGTGCCGGGTATGGATTTGGGGGCAGCGCCCGTCGCAAGGGGAGCACCCTGCTGTTGCTGTGCCAGTGCCTGGCTGTGGGTAGCCGGCCGTACAGCTGGGTGCCAGGTGAGTGAGTAATGGGGAGTGGTTGGACTTTGGCCGTGCCTGGCTTGATGGTCTGTAGAAATGCTCGGGGACAGAATTAGTTTTGGAGTGCAGTGGCTTGAGCAGAGGTTTCAGGACTGCAGGCAGCTGTACGCCTGTTGTGTTTTCCGTCCCGCCGGAGCCTGTGATGCACTGGCTGCACTGGCCCTGGGCAAGTCTCCTGTGGTCCTGTGCCCCACGGTCCTGCTGGCAAAGTGGAAGATAAGCAGGAGTTGCTATGAGGGAAAACGGAGGCTGATTTTGCTTCGTGCAGAAATGTAAAAAAAGGATCTTTCTCCAGAAGCAGAGGATCAAAGTTTTCCTTTATTCATAATCTGTCTTTACAATATTTTGAAACATTTAAGCCAACAGTGAGGTCTGTAGAGGAAATGTTTCCTGGCTTGACAATGATGCTTAGCTAAATTCTCATGCCGTCCTGTGAGATTATCTTCTAGTCTGAGGCGTTACCCTCCTATTCCATTGCTTTATGTTCAGAGCTGCTCCAAGTACAAGCTTTTGCTGCGTAGTCTATGGCATTTCCAAAAAGCAACCGTTTCTTGGAACAACTTGGTGAAGATCAGACTGCTTCTTTGGATTCAATAGAAACATCTAACGAAAGCTGCCCAGCCCTCGTGCCGTCTCACAGCTAACTGCTGGCTCTTGGTACTGGCAGTAGTGTCGCTGGAGTTAGAGTTTTGATTGTCTTGCTTCAGATTTTAGCAACTCAAATATACATTGCTGCTTATAATTTACCGATGCTGCAGGTTGTTAAGAGGCAAAATTGCTATTAGTGCCTTATTGTTCATAGAACACGACTTGAAATTTGCACAGAAAATGGATTTCTGTGGCCACTGGGCTGTCTGCACTGTTTGTCACGTTTACGTGAAGATGCTATTAGTAAGGTTGATCTTCCTTAACTGTGCATATTCCTTGGTTTTCAGTTGTATGCCTTGCTTATAAACCAGACTTCGTTCTCCAAGTCAAGCGTGTATCTTTTTTGAAAGAATATGGAAACCTCTGTATGTTATGAAAAGAAGCTACACAGAATATTTGTAACATGCTTCAAATCTGATGTAAAACATCAAGGAAATCTGGCTATCACTTAAGTGACTAAGAGTCTTTATGAAGTTCTTCAGGTAGCACCATTTTGGTGTACAGCTTGGACCTTCAACAGAGGACCTGCTTGTTATGTTTGGGTTTTCTTTTAACTCACTTTTCTTTTGACATTCGTCTGCTACTTTGACAATGTTGGCTTTAGGTTAACCTCTCTCTGGCGAGCGTTCCGTGTTGGTCATTTTACTGAAACCCTCTTCTAACACTGTGTGTTCTTCTTGCGCTTTTAGCCACTGACGATATTGTGAAAGTTGAAGTCTGGGATGTAGTTGACAAAGGTAAGATATATAATTTCTTTTCTAATGGAGATTTGTTGCTCTTTCTCAATTTTAATTAAAAACTTACATGGAATTCAGAAATACCTACTTACTTCTACTTTAGAAAAACGTCTGTACTTACTTTTTCAAGTGCATGGATGCTACTTCCTGAAAAAATGTGGAGAGGAGAGAGGAGTCTCCTTTGCTAGAGCCCATTATTTGCAGTCTGAACTTCAGATCAAACCCAATATTCAGAAGCAGTTGTTTCATGTGCTCCGTGACAGATGAAATAGCCTTTAGTGTATTCAGATTCTCTGAACTTTATTATAAATTTCATCTTCTCTCCTTTCTAGTTTTTATATATGTTTAGACAGCTACTGAGTTCTTTGTTCTGTTTATAGAAGTTCTTCCCGAGCTGTTTTTGTAAAGGAATGCTATTGTTAAATCGATAAAATGTTATCTGCAGTGAATAATGTATGCAGGAGGGAAGGATAAAAGAAACCAATTACTTAAATTCACTTAGGACAGAAAATGCAATACATTTCATCCAAAATCTTTTCTAAATGCTTAGCCAAGAAAGTACTATGATGTATAAATACATTTTTCATCAATTTTTGTCAGAGTATAAAGTTCTGTTTTATAAAAAATAAAAACAAACCCCCAAAACATACGTGAAGACACAATCTGGATGCAGTGCAAATCTGGAAGCAGTGGAATCTGTTGCCGGAAGGAGTTGAAGTTCAGATGTAAATCTTAACAGCCCGTTCGGAGGCCCCAAATGCAGATATTGTTTGACTTTTACGAGATGTTTTGTGCCAGCCAGGCTCCTGTCCTGAGGTGCGAGTTTGGTCAGGAAAGCAGCTCTACAAGTGAGCATCTCTTGCTCGGTGGGTTGTGCTGCTCGTTTCTGTGTTTCTGTCAGTCACATCTGTTCACCACAGTCACTGAAACTTGAACTTTCATGGTTTGGCTGCTGTTCCCTTTCCTGGAGCCTTAGCTGGAGTCTGGGCTGGCACGTGTTCCTCAGCAGAACCACCTCCGAGGTGCGCTGCCTCTGCTGTACCGCCTGTGCGACGGTACACGCGCTAACACCAAAAGATGAGGAGATAAGTACAGCAGGGCGTGGGAAAGGGAGGAATTTCATATTTCATGTTAGCTAAATTGTATTTAAAATTGTGAAAAAAGAAAATGTGGTTAAAGATAGCAGCTCTAGCTCAGATGCACAATGGAGCCTTTAGGTAAACCCGAGCCAGTAACTTTCGATGAAAATCCTGGGAGCTTTATCTTTTTATTCTTTTAAACAGCAGTTTTCACAGTGTAGACAAAACCCTCCTTAGGTCAGAGCTGCTGCTGGAGTCAGTCTGATTGCAGCTTGGCTTTCAGATCCTGAGATAACATGTGCAGGGCTGGAATCTGAGCAAAACATCTGTTTTCCTGCTGCCTTGCAACTTTGGTATGAATAGATAGACAGTTAATTTGGGAATTATGTGGTTCCAGCATTTATTTCTGTGAATAGCTTCTCTGAGCAGAGTCATCTTCTCAACTAGAGACTTGTCATTTTTTTGGCAAAATGGATCAGATTTGATGTGTGCAGATGTTGATAACAGCTCTTCTGATACGGCTTTCATTTCTGACAGTGGAGCATGTGTTAGAAATCTCAAGGGACTCTCTTCTCTCCACTTCATATTCTTTTGAAATAAAACTCATTCTGTTGAGATCCCTACTTAACGGGCCACAGACACGTATTTTTGTGTAATCAGATGTACTTAATCAATGCAGTGTAAAAATGCAGATTGTCATGATGCAACAAACCCAAATCCTTTCTCGTTGCCATAGCATTGCAGATTCTTGATAAGTATAACTTCAGGAAAATGTGCAAATTAACCATTAAGAGCTTGCTCATATCCAACTTTCATCTTAATGTTATCTCATGACGTTTTTGTTCTTCCTTCTGTGTGCTTAGGACAAAAAATCCTCCTGCGGGATGCTTTGGGTGAGAGCGACACCAGTCTAGACTGTAGACTTTTAGCAGTGAAGTATCCAGTGCTGCTGCAGCATAGTGCTGACAAGACCTGAGCCTCCTTTTTTTCCTTGCCTCCCAGATCCTGGCTAACGTGCATATTTAGAGTTGTGCAGAACGCTGCGTTTATCAGGCTGGATTTGAAACTGCCAAAAAACGCACGTTCCGAACATGCATTTCAACATACGTTGTTTTCCAGGCTAGATTTTTTCCCCGTGTTTTCCCATTTTGGAAGAAACGTTCCTTATTAGAGAAAATTAAGAGCCCTCTGTTTAAATTAAGATGCTTGAAAAGTGTGTTGAAAGCCTGATGTGAGGATGTAGCTGGACTGTCTGAAAGGCGTATCCGTAAACTGCAGTTTTCAATTTTAGGCTTGTAAAGCAGCTTCAGCCTCTTCTGTGCTACGCAGAGCTGCCGCTCGTCGCGTCTCGGGGTGAACGTGCACAGCAGGATTTGGGGAAACCTAATAAGGTGCACCCTGGAAAACTTGGTGTACGTTTTTGAGCTGAAGTTAAGTGTGGTTTTCCTGCGTGGCGCTTCTCCTGGCGCTCGGCAGCAGCGTGCCTCCCTGTCCCTGTTAGTTCAGCAGCGCCCTTCGGTTTTTCCCTGCAGCCTGTTGTGGGAAAGCAGGAGGCAGCTCTGCGGGTGCTTTGGTGTCGTTTGTTTAGCGTGCAGATGTTCACCTGGAAGTGGGGAGGTTTGTTGTGAAAGCTTCGAACGGAGAGGCTGCTGAGTGGGCTGGGGCAGGGGGGGGGGGGCGCCGCCGCGCTCCTCCTGCCTTTCCGTTGACTCTTTGGCATTTCTTTTTTTCGATGTGCAGACTCAGTGGAGTACAGACTTCCCTGCAGCCTGCTGTGTTCTCCCTGGGCCTGCTCAGAGAGCGGAGCTCGTTTCTGTAATGATGCCATTTGTTAAAATCTTAACAAGTAGAGCTCGCCCCCAGCTATGGATTGCGTGGGATTTTGTGCGTGTGTGTAGTAAATACCGTCTCCTTTGCTGCCCTTGGAACTAATAGAACATAGGAAAGAGATCTCTCAGCAAAAGTCACAGTCCTGACTCATCTTTCTGGCTTTGCAGCAGTTGTGTAACTGCTGCAGGTCATAAAGCTGTAATAGATCCTGAATGCGAAGAAGCTGCTTGAATGCAGGTGATTCAAGAACAGTTCTGATCTCCTGTCTTGTAACTTGCTAGTTTGGTTCCTGCATCTTTTCCCATACACTAACTGAAGGGATCAAATCCTGTTTTTTTCTGTTGCCCCAAAATATCATAAACTC